CTTTTGGATTCATGGTCAAGTATCATTTCAAATACTTCATATTGACGAGTCCTTCAGGAATCTATAAAAGGATTTAAACCGGTTCCCTGAAATGTTCTCTTTTTTTCCAGAATATTCCTCAGACATTTAATCAGGTGTGGAAAGTCAGAACACATTCTCAGCTTCCTCGAGGGGTTCATTGGATGTTCACACCACGGCTGTAAACTGTTTTGTACGCCCATGTTCTTCCAGATGGATCTATTTCATGTCGCTCCATCACTTGTAATGGCATCAATGAGAAGACCCGCATTCTCACATAGGATAACACATTTCAAAATCAATTTGGCTTGAAGATCACCAGTGATGTTTCCTTTTGTTAGGAAACATCATAGAGCCTGCAAGCCATGACCAGTAAATGGCTGGAACATAATCACAAGCACATGATCACCCAATTGATCTTCCATTCTTTTCGGGTTGTATTTTCCTAGATCAACGAATCCCACAAATTCCATTGTGTTCTTGTCAAACTTTTTGGTAAGGTTTATTTTGCATTTGTCTACCAAAAGACACCCATGCTTTTGCCATTCTGTCATATGCTTGGTTTTCTCTTCAATCATTACAAATACTTCATTTTTAAAACCAAAAGTTCCATGTATATTTCTTACACACCTGATAAAAGAATTAAAATTGACTTTTTCATCAACTACTGGAATGAACCACAACAATCACATTTTCACACTAACCTCAACATTGAATAATTTCGTGAAAATATCACATATTTGGATACTATAGTTTTCATTTTCATGATAAATCCATCCTCTGCGGAATATTATGAAATTCTTCATGCTCCCAAATTTATGGAAAATTTCATGAATTTTTTTCAATCACATTCTCATAATGCTCAAGCAATTTCCTCCAAACAGTTTTTCACTCATCTCTTCAAGTATTGTATGTACTTGAAATATTTTTCAATGCAGCTCTATTTTGCAAGTTCATTTCTAGATTGGGTAATTGTGACCTATACTTGAATGAAATCTCATATTTGTATATACAGTGTTTTGCGAAAATGATGGGCATATATTATTGCAGGAAGATTGAACACAACACATTGATCTTGATTTTCAGTTCAGTTTTCCTCGGGTTTCCAAAAAAAAAACGAGAAAAACATTTTACAGGGTTATACACCAAGATCAATGGAGTTTGTATTCAACTTGGAGAGTTTATAAATTTATGGTTGAAGAAGTCACAGTTGATGGCTCACATAACTCAATATGAGAATTCATATAAGGTTTGACCACAATAACCCATTCAAGAAAAAGTCTCTGGAACTAGAGCAGCCATGTAAAATATTACTTGTTAGGTAGGAAATATCACAGTTATGAAAACCATTTTTTTTTTAAATGAAAAGAGAAGAATTGCAAAACCATTTTGAAAAAAATATGCTTCAGCATTATGAAGATGTAGTTGAAAAAAGTCTCAAAAGTTTCTCATCACATTGGGAGCATTTATAATCCTTCAATATTTTGCCGTGATTTGTTATTCACCCTAAACCATGTATTTTCATCAGCGTATACATATAGCCTATCCTAATATGTGAAACTATTGCGAAAATATTCAATGTTGAATGAAGTGCTTGTTGAAGTTCCATTGTTCAGCATGCTTATCTCAAAACAAAATACATATAATCAAAATCAGCAACACTTAGAAAATGGATATTATGTAGTTTGGCAATCTACATTGCCATCCTGAGTAGAACTGAAAAGAAAATTAATATTAGCTGACTACCTATTAAGTATTTTTTTTAATTAATGGGAAATACCATACTATATTGAGCTAATCTGTAGTTTCTTTTCAGTGGTACTAAAAATGGCAGTATTGACCCAGTTATGTTCAATTTTTTGTATTGTAGATATAGAAGAAAATATTTTTTCCACCACAAGTTATAGACCCTCCTATTATTTTGAATTGACTCACCCGTTACTTGGTGGAAATCCACAAACAATGATTGCACAAAATTCTTAATCACATGACATGTTTCGCTAACATGTTGTGTGATTAAGAATTTTGTGGTATCATTTGTGAAGTTTTTTTACATCTCCCATTTGTTACACCTTTTCAAGGCATAAAATGTGTTTTTTTCATACCAATGTAGTTTTCATCATTTTATGAACTAATAGTCAATTAAGACATAGTTTGGTTGAAACAAATTCACTGTTCTGATGCGAGATTCACAGGAATGGCAGTCAAATCCAGTAGTTATTTTTCAATATTGACTTGTCATAATGCTGTCATGGGCATGGCTACTAGATTTTAATCAGAATTGAAAAGAAGTGCTTTCATACTGACCCAGAACTATAATGATGGAAATATATCGCTAGTGGTGTAAAAAAAGCTGAAGCCTGTGTATATAATCTTGGTCCCTGGATAATGCTATTTTTTACTACCTTGGTGTATTAAAAACTATTTAAGACCTTAATAATTTTTTCTGTTCTATTCAGTTGATAATGTTGATTTTTGATAGCTATATTTTCGCATGGTGTGGTCAGCAATTTTTAAAATGGATCACCCTGTATGTAGATATTTTTTCCGACTGCTATTTAAAAAAAAAGGTATTTATTATAGCAATTTTTTTCAACAATATGAACATGTATCACACGATTTTCTTATAAGAATGTGCGTGTGCAACGTTTAATAATTAGTAACTGATTTTTACTATTTTACTTTTATCAACTACACTTATGATAATGAAAATTATAACAGTTTACAATAGAGGTCAAGAAATAGTAACAATGTAATTATGCAATGCATACAATTAATACTATCCTAACAGACCTAATCAGTATGAAATTTTATCACTTATATTTCTACAACCACCAGTCTAACGACACTCCGAACTTGATATCAATATAAGTTAGAAGAATAGCAGCCCGAAAAAATATTTACCTACAGGATGATTCATTGCAAAAAACTGCTGACCACGCAATATTTACAACAATATGTTAGCTACCAAAAATCAACATTGGCCACTGAGTAGAACAGAACGAATTATAGGTCTTTGGTAAAAAACAAAAATAAATTACTTCTGGTTTAGTCAGAAATTAGCTGTTTCCATATATTTGCCAACCCTGTATAACTTACCTAGAAGAAAGTGCTAGGAGATGGCATGGCCATAATTTGATTATCTCGGATATGGTTATAAAGCTTGGGACTTTTGATTTTCATCAAAATGCAATTATACACCCATTCTAATGTGTATCTTCTACCAGTAGATTTGCATTTGAAAGAATTTAAACAGGTGTGGATTATCATATCTTGTTGAACATTCGGTAGAGTACTGAGAAGTTCATCTAGTTTGACCATGTTAGCATTTTCTTTTCTCAAATTACAACTCTACTCAAATTGTGCATTTCTTTTTTATTGATAGGTTGTGTAATTATATTTATGTTTTTGCTTGACAATTTTTGGTTGTTCTTCCTGACGTTTTCTTATAAAATATTTATAACTTGTGCAGGCCTTGCAAGAGTAGTAATTTGCTGGGATAAGAACTGAACAGGATTTGCTTTTGCCATAGCACATATTCCATGAATCCATATTAACAATTAACTCTTGAAGATCTTCCATGCACAGTGGTTATTGTATTTTCAAGATTCGTATATTTTTCTCAAGCTCTGGCTATGATGAATGAGGAACTCAATATTATAGTTCTTTCATTAGAAATTGTTGAATCATCCTGCATGCACATTTTTGTCAAAAGAATATGGTTTTCTAATGAATCTATGAACTCCCCAATCAGATGGAAGTATCAATTGGGTAATGGATTTCAGCTCTTGAAAAATACCATTCAAATTATTGTTTACTGGATTTACAGCTGGATCTACTTGGGAGCTGGGAATGGGAGAAGGACTGAGTGGAGTGGAATTTTGTTGAACAAGACTGAAGAAAAGGATAATTTTAATAAATTGATGAATCATTTATATTACTTTTATTTGAATAAAATATACTGAGTAAACACATTCATATTAGTATAACATAAAAAATACAATACAGTGACTTATACCAAATAATACTCATATCTTTATCTTATAGAAAGGAGAGAAAATCCCAAACCAAACTTGCTAATAAAGATCAAAGAAAGTTGTATACCTGACATTCATATTGAGTATTTTCAACTATAGACATTGTATTTCAACAAATATTATTCAACAAATAAATGAAAGTGAAGAATTTTGCATAAGTTTTTGCAGAAACTATTCTTTTTTTAAAAAGAATTGAAGGACCATTGACATATCATTATTATTCAATTTCAAAATGATAACTTCCAACTACAGAGGTACAGGGTACTTTAGTCTGTGATTCCTTGTGATATTTTAGGAAATAACAGTCCTATGAACCTGTGTCCTAAGTTGCTTGATTCTCAGGTACAGGGTTAATAATAAAAAAAATCGTTTTTTATTCATTACTCATAAGTTAAATGTCTTTCTATTATTAATTATTGTGACTATCATTGTGGGCCACTGGTGTTTCTGGGTTCCATATTTTTATTAGATTAACGAATTGAAATAACAACTCTTTTATCTCTAGTGTTACTTTAGAATTTGGCTCAGTTTTTGAGGAAATAATGAAAATTCAATTTGATTTCAAATTTCAATGTAGGTGCTCCCAAGACTCCCATTGTGATTACTCAATAAACTCATTTAAAATTTTGGGACTTTCAGTCACCCATGGAATTTTATACAGGGGAATCATAAAAAAACAATACACATCCAACTTCAACATCATGTACCTCAAAAGTGAGGCAAGTTAGGATACCTGTTTATGTAAACTTTATTTCCTAAAATATCAGGAGGATTCACCCTGTTGCACTTATTCACTACCACCCTGTGTACACATTATATGAAACAAAGTCAACAATGGATGTATTTTATTTATAATAATTATGAAGGGCAATGGAATATGTTTTCAGATCAATATTGAAATATTGCTTTTTCAAAATTAAAAAAATTCAATCATGAGAACTAATAATGAGGAAACTTAAAAATGGTAGTAAAATACTAACATCTCCAAAGGTAAGGCAGCTTTTTTTCAATCTCTTTTTTCCAATGGCATCATTGGAAAAATGTCTCTCACACACAAATCCACTTGGGGGTAAGTTGACTGATGTGGCATCAGCCCACAATTGTAGTTCATCTTTGTCCTGGAATTATAATTTAACCTCCACTTTTAAATAGAATTTTATGGAGTTATTAGGGGAGCAGGGCATGAAACTGAAGTGCTTAAGCAGTACATATTTACCAATTACCAGAGCTTGTTTGTCTAAGGAACAGCAAAGCTTTGGAATTCTTTGCCAAATCAAGTATTCCCAAGAACATATATAATCTCTAGTTGCACTTTGTGCACCACAAAAGATAAACATATAATATTTACACATCTTAGCATGAGCAAGGCAGGAAGGGAAAGGGTTTTAGGGAAAAAGTAATTTGCTGACCACAATCGAATAATTCGTTGATTCGAGACTTGTAGTGCGATTAATGAGATCATAATACAGATCTTATATCTATGGAGGAATGCCTTTGTGCCACCATATTCAAAATTCGAATCCACCCCCATTTAGGGGTAGTTTATACTTGTGATTTTTTGGAAAACTTTGCTGACCGAGGCTTTCCAATTGATATATTCCATTGTAAAGATGGAATATGAATGTTCGGAACATGTTTTCAGTGCCACCATATCCAAAATTCATAACTACCCTCTCATAAGGGTAGTTTATACTTGTGATTTTTCGGAAAACTTTGCTGACCGAGGCTTTCCCATTGTTATATTTCATTGAAAAGATGGAATATGAATGTTCGGAACATGTTTCCAGTGCCACCATATCGAAAATTCATAACAACCCCCTAATAAGGGTAGTTTATACTTGTGATTTTTCGAAAAACTTTGCTGACCGAGGCTATCCAATTGATATATTTCATTGAAAAGCTGGAATATGGATGATTGGATTATTTTTCCAGTGCCACCATACCGAAAATTTATAACAACCCCCTAATAAGGATAGTTTATACTTGTGATTTTTCGGAAAACTTTGCTGACCGAGGCTTTCCAATTGATATATTTCATTGAAAAGATGGAATATGAATGTTCGGAACATGTTTTCAGTGCCACCATACCGAAAATTCATAACAACCCCCTCATAAGGGTAGTTTATACTTGTGATTTTTCGGAAACCTTTGCTGACCGAGGCTTTCCAATTGATATATTTCATTGAAAAGATGGAATATGAATGTTCGGAACATGTTTCCAGTGCCACCATATCGAAAATTCATAACAACCCCCTCATAAGGGTAGTTTATACTTGTGATTTTTCGGAAAACTTTGCTGACCGAGGCTTTCCAATTGATATATTTCATTGAAAAGATGGAATATGAATGTTCGGAACATGTTTTCAGTGCCACCATATCGAAAATTCATAACAACCCCCTCATAAGGGTAGTTTATACCTGTGATTTTTCGGAAAACTTTGCTGACCGAGGCTTTCCAATTGTTATGTTTCATTGAAAAGCTGGAATATGAATGTGCGGAACATGTTTTCTGTGCCACCATATATGAAATTCATGAGAACCCCCTAATAAGGGTAGTTTATACTTGTAATTTTTCGAAATACTTTGCTGACCGAAGCTTTCCAATTGTTATATTGCATTGAAAAGCTGGAATATGAATGTACGGAACATGTTTCCAGTGCCATCATATGAAAAATTCATAAGAACCCCCTAATAAGGGTAGTTTATACTTGTGATTTTTCGAAAAACTTTGCTGACCGAGGCTATCCAATTGATATATTTCATTGAAAAGCTGGAATATGGATGATTGGATTATTTCTCCAGTGCCACCATACCGAAAATTTATAACAACCCCCTAATAAGGGTAGTTTATACTTGTGATTTTTCGGAAAACTTTGCTGACCGAGGCTTTCCAATTGATATATTTCATTGAAAAGATGGAACATGTTTTCAGTGCCACCATACCGAAAATTCATAAGAACCCCCTAATAAGGGTAGTTTATACTTGTGATTTTTCGGAAAACTTTGCTGACCGAGGCTTTCCAATTGTTATGTTTCATTGAAAAGCTGGAATATGAATGTGCGGAACATGTTTTCTGTGCCACCATATATGAAATTCATGAGGACCCCCTAATAAGGGTAGTTTATAATTGTAATTTTTCGAAATACTTTGCTGACCGAAGCTTTCCAATTGTTATATTGCATTGAAAAGCTGGAATATGAATGTACGGAACATGTTTTCAGTGCCACCATATAAAAAATTCATAAGAACCCCCTAATAAGGGTAGTTTATGGTTGTGATTTTTCGAAAAACTTTGCTGACCGAGGCTATCCAATTGATATATTTCATTGAAAAGCTGGAATATGGATGATTGGATTATTTCTCCAGTGCCACCATACCGAAAATTTATAGCAACCCCCTAATAAGGGTAGTTTATACTTGTGATTTTTCGGAAAACTTTGCTGACCGAGGCTTTCCAATTGATATATTTCATTGAAAAGATGGAATATGAATGTTCGGAACATGTTTCCAGTGCCACCATATCGAAAATTCATAACAACCCCCTAATAAGGGTAGTTTATACTTGTGATTTTTCGAAAAACTTTGCTGACCGAGGCTATCCAATTGATATATTTCATTGAAAAGCTGGAATATGGATGATTGGATTATTTTTCCAGTGCCACCATATAAAAAATTTATAACAACCCCCTAATAAGGGTAGTTTATACTTGTGATTTTTCGGAAAACTTTGCTGACCGAGGCTTTCCAATTGATATATTTCATTGAAAAGATGGAATATGAATGTTCGGAACATGTTTTCAGTGCCACCATACCGAAAATTCATAACAACCCCCTCATAAGGGTAGTTTATACTTGTGATTTTTCGGAAAACTTTGCTGACCGAGGCTTTCCAATTGATATATTTCATTGAAAAGATGGAATATGAATGTTCGGAACATGTTTCCAGTGCCACCATATCGAAAATTCATAACAACCCCCTCATAAGGGTAGTTTATACTTGTGATTTTTCGGAAAACTTTGCTGACCGAGGCTTTCCAATTGATATATTTCATTGAAAAGATGGAATATGAATGTTCGGAACATGTTTTCAGTGCCACCATATCGAAAATTCATAACAACCCCCTCATAAGGGTAGTTTATACCTGTGATTTTTCGGAAAACTTTGCTGACCGAGGCTTTCCAATTGTTATGTTTCATTGAAAAGCTGGAATATGAATGTGCGGAACATGTTTTCTGTGCCACCATATATGAAATTCATGAGGACCCCCTAATAAGGGTAGTTTATAATTGTAATTTTTCGAAATACTTTGCTGACCGAAGCTTTCCAATTGTTATATTGCATTGAAAAGCTGGAATATGAATGTACGGAACATGTTTTCAGTGCCACCATATAAAAAATTCATAAGAACCCCCTAATAAGGGTAGTTTATGGTTGTGATTTTTCGAAAAACTTTGCTGACCGAGGCTATCCAATTGATATATTTCATTGAAAAGCTGGAATATGGATGATTGGATTATTTCTCCAGTGCCACCATACCGAAAATTTATAACAACCCCCTAATAAGGGTAGTTTATACTTGTGATTTTTCGGAAAACTTTGCTGACCGAGGCTTTCCAATTGATATATTTCATTGAAAAGATGGAATATGAATGTTCGGAACATGTTTCCAGTGCCACCATATCGAAAATTCATAACAACCCCCTCATAAGGGTAGTTTATACTTGTGATTTTTCGGAAAACTTTGCTGACCGAGGCTTTCCAATTGATATATTTCATTGAAAAGATGGAATATGAATGTTCGGAATATGTTTCCAGTGCCAACATATCGAAAATTCATAACAACCCCCTCATAAGGGTAGTTTATACTTGTGATTTTTCGGAAAACTTTGCTGACCGAGGCTATCCAATTGATATATTTCATTGAAAAGCTGAAATATGTATGATCGTAACATTTTTTCAGTGCCACCATATCGAAAATTTATAACAACCCCCTGATAAGGGTAGTTTATACTTGTGATTTTTCGGAAAACTTTGCTGACCGAGGCTTTCCAATTGATATATTTCATTGAAAAGATGGAATATGAATGTTCGGAACATGTTTCCAGTGCCACCATATCGAAAATTCATAAAAACCCCCTCATAAGGGTAGTTTATACTTGTGATTTTTCGGAAAACTTTGCTGACCGAGGCTTTCCAATTGATATATTTCATTGAAAAGATGGAATATGAATGTTCGGAACATGTTTTCAGTGCCACCATATCGAAAATCCATAACAACCCCCTCATAAGGGTAGTTTATGATTGTGATTTTTCGGAAAACTTTGCTGACCGAGGCTATCCAATTGATATATTTCATTGAAAAGCTGGAATATGAATGATCGTAACATTTTTTCAGTGCCACCATATCGAAAATTTATAACAACCCCCTGATAAGGGTAGTTTATCCTCGTAATTTTTCGAAATACTTTGCTGACCGAAGCTTTCCAATTGTTATATTGCATTGAAATGCTGGAATATGAATGTACGGAACATGTTTTCAGTGCCACCATATGAAAAATTCATAAGAACCCCCTAATAAGGGTAGTTTATACTTGTGATTTTTCGAAAAACTTTGCTGACCGAGGCTATCCAATTGATATATTTCATTGAAAAGCTGGAATATTAATGACTGGATTATTTTTTCAATGCCACCATATCGAAAATTTATAACAACCCCCTAATAAGGGTAGTTTATACTTGTGATTTTTCGAAAAACTTTGCTGACCGAGGCTATCCAATTGATATATTTCATTGAAAAGCTGGAATATGAATGTCTGGAACATGTTTTCAGTGCCACCATATCGAAAATTCATAACAACCCCCTGATAAGGGTAGTTTATACTTGTAATTTTTCGAAATACTTTGCTGACCGAAGCTTTCCAATTGTTATATTTCATTGAAAAGCTGGAATATGAATGATTGGATTATTTTTCCAGTGCCACCATATCGAAAATTTATAACAACCCCCTAATAAGGGTAGTTTATACTTGTGATTTTTCGGAAAACTTTGCTGACCGAGGCTTTCCAATTGATATATTTCATTGAAAAGCTGGAATATGAATGATCGTAACATTTTTTCAGTGCCACCATATCGAAAATTTATAACAACCCCCTAATAAGGGTAGTTTATACTTGTGATTTTTCGAAAAACTTTGCTGACCGAGGCTATCCAATTGATATATTTCATTGAAAAGCTGGAATATGAATGATTGGATAATTTTTCCAGTGCCACCATATCGAAAATTTATAACAACTCCCTGATAAGGGTAGTTTATACTTGTAATTTTTCGAAATACTTTGCTGACCGAAGCTTTCCAATTGTTATATTGCATTGAAATGCTGGAATATGAATGTACGGAACATGTTTCCAGAGCCACCATATCGAAAATTTATAACAACCCCCTGATAAGGGTAGTTTATACTTGTGATTTTTCGGAAAACTTTGCTGACCGAGGCTTTCCAATTGATATATTTCATTGAAAAGATGGAATATGAATGTTCGGAACATGTTCTCAGTGCCACCATATCGAAAATTCATAACAACCCCCTCATAAGGGTAGTTTATACTTGTGATTTTTCGGAAAACTTTGCTGACCGAGGCTTTCCAATTGATATATTTCATTAAAAAGATGGAATATGAATGTTCGGAACATGTTTTCAGTGCCACCATATCGAAAATTCATAACAACCCCCTCATAAGGGTAGTTTATACTTGTAATTTTTCGAAATACTTTGCTGACCGAAGTTTTCCAATTGTTATATTTCATTGAAAAGATGGAATATGAATGTTCGGAACATGTTTCCAGTGCCACCATATCGAAAATTCATAACAACCCCCTCATAAGGGTAGTTTATACTTGTGATTTTTCGGAAAACTTTGCTGACCGAGGCTTTCCAATTGATATATTCCATTGAAAAGATGGAATATGAATGTTCGGAACATGTTTTCAGTGCCACCATATCGAAAATTCATAACAACCCCCTCATAAGGGTAGTTTATACTTGTGATTTTTCGGAAAACTTTGCTGACCGAGGCTATCCAATTGATATATTTCATTGAAAAGCTGGAATATGAATGATCGTAACATTTTTTCAGTGCCACCATATCGAAAATTTATAACAACCCCCTGATAAGGGTAGTTTATCCTCGTAATTTTTCGAAATACTTTGCTGACCGAAGCTTTCCAATTGTTATATTGCATTGAAATGCTGGAATATGAATGTACGGAACATGTTTTCAGTGCCACCATATGAAAAATTCATAAGAACCCCCTAATAAGGGTAGTTTATACTTGTGATTTTTCGAAAAACTTTGCTGACCGAGGCTATCCAATTGATATATTTCATTGAAAAGCTGGAATATTAATGACTGGATTATTTTTTCAATGCCACCATATCGAAAATTTATAACAACCCCCTAATAAGGGTAGTTTATACTTGTGATTTTTCGAAAAACTTTGCTGACCGAGGCTATCCAATTGATATATTTCATTGAAAAGCTGGAATATTAATGACTGAATTATTCTTCCAATGCCACCATATCGAAAATTTATAACAACCCCCTAATAAGGGTAGTTTATACTTGTAATTTTTCGAAATACTTTGCTGACCGAAGCTTTCCAATTGTTATATTGCATTACGATCATTCATATTCCAGCTTTTCAATGAAATATATCAATTGGATAGCCTCGGTCAGCAAAGTTTTTCGAAAAATCACAAGTATAAACTACCCTTATGAGGGGGTTGTTATGAATTTTCGATATGATGGCACTGAAAACATGTTCCGAACATTCATATTCCATCTTTTCAATGAAATGTATCAATTGGAAAGCCTCGGTCAGCAAAGTTTTCCGAAAAATCACAGGTATAAACTACCCTTATGAGGGGGTTGTTATGAATTTTCGATATGGTGGCACTGAAAACATGTTCCGTACATTCATATTCCAGCATTTCAATGCAATATAACAATTGGAAAGCTTCGGTCAGCAAAGTATTTCGAAAAATTACGAGGATAAACTACCCTTATCAGGGGGTTGTTATAAATTTTCGATATGGTGGCACTGAAAAAATGTTACGATCATTCATATTCCAGCTTTTCAATGAAATATATCAATTGGATAGCCTCGGTCAGCAAAGTTTTCCGAAAAATCACAAGTATAAACTACCCTTATGAGGGGGTTGTTATGAATTTTCGATATGGTGGCACTGAAAACATGTTCCGAACATTCATATTCCATCTTTTCAATGGAATATATCAATTGGAAAGCCTCGGTCAGCAAAGTTTTCCGAAAAATCACAAGTATAAACTACCCTTATGAGGGGGTTGTTATGAATTTTCGATATGGTGGCACTGGAAACATGTTCCGAACATTCATATTCCATCTTTTCAATGAAATATATCAATTGGAAAGCCTCGGTCAGCAAAGTTTTCCGAAAAATCACAAGTATAAACTACCCTTATGAGGGGGTTGTTATGAATTTTTGATATGGTGGCACTGGAAACATGTTCCAAACATTCATATTCCAGCTTTTCAATGAAATATATCAATTGGATAGCCTCGGTCAGCAAAGTTTTCCGAAAAATCACAAGTATAAACTACCCTTATGAGGGGGTTGTTATGAATTTTCGATATGTTGGCACTGAAAACATGTTCCGAACATTCATATTCCATCTTTTCAATGAAATATATCAATTGGAAAGCCTCGGTCAGCAAAGTTTTCCGAAAAATCACAAGTATAAACTACCCTTATGAGGGGGTTGTTATGAATTTTCGATATGGTGGCACTGAAAACATGTTCCGAACATTCATATTCCATCTTTTCAATGAAATATATGAATTGGAAAGCCTCGGTCAGCAAAGTTTTCCGAAAAATCACAAGTATAAACTACCCCTAAATGAGGGTTGATTTGAGTTTTCTCTATGGTGGCACGTTCACTCCATCATGCATGACTCAGTTTTATAGTTTAACGTGTTTAAATATACCTCAAGGTTCTTGTCGGCAGGAATATTTTTTGGTCAGCAAATTATCCACACTCAGGGTTTTATGCCCCTAGTCAAGTGAGTTACAAATGCAAAGCATTTTTCTTCTGGATAAATGATCAAGATTCATGCCCTGCCCTTCCTTATATAAATTGTATCATCTATAATGATTGGAAAAGGTGCCAAGAAAATTTATTTTATTGAATTCAATCTCATATATTGGTAATGGATTAATGCACAACATAACTCATGTCCTAGCTGTATCAATAATGATCCAATATTTTAATTCACCTCTCATTTTATTCTCAAGTAGATTGTTGTCATGCATGATATTGATAGGTAGCTATTCTGCTAGAGAAATAATTTGGTTCTTTATGTAATGATGAGTAAATATATTGAAATATTAATTCCTACTCACTTTTGGTACAGAAAACATTCGTATTTCCGGATTTTTATGTGATCCGCACACATAACAGCAACGCCAGTCCATGATAAAAAAGTACACACACAACACAATACAAATAATACCTAACTACTTCTGAATGGTTATAAGAAAACACTTGCAATGAATATATCCGATATAAACGATAAATTTGAATAATTTTAAATTTATCAAGATTCACGAAGCTCAAAAAACCATCTCAAGAAGAAGGACTTGGGACGTGAGACGTGACAATCTTGACAGATGTCGAGTCAAAATGTCATGAAATTATATTTTTTATTTACCTTTTGTCACAATCAGTTTTATCAACCTTGATCGTTCATTCTGTTCACGCCTACACGCCACCTAACGCTGAACATGAGAACCCCACGTTCCGAACTCGCATTCAATTGTTCCATATCGAGAGCTAGTCTGACGAAACAATTGAAAAGTGGACACACCATAGGAATTATAAACATCTCAGCCTTGATATTCATTTTCCTTCTCGACTAGAGTCTAGCCATAGCACCATAGTGAGGTAATACTGCGCCTGGCAAATGACCACCACACTTCTGGCAAATCAAACTAGGAAACTAATTTTATCTACGACTGGAGTCATTCATACATTGCTAACTCGATTTTCAAGATTTAATGACAGATATTATTATGATGAATCGAGTAATAAGAGTAATAATGACAGTAGGATAGCTTAATAATCTGACATCCCATCATCAAATTCAACTAGGTAGGTATTCGTTCTACTAGTTCTACTAAAGCACGCCACTATACTACTGTTTGTGAAATACACGCAAATTCAAAAGACTCACCCTACATAAATTTAAGTTAACACTTCGATATTCTACGACTTTTCAAGCGGATAAAAAGAACTCTAGAAGAATCCCAATCCCGTACAATCCCAAGTATACGAAGGGACTTGATAAGGTTTTCAAAGACTTAGGTTTTGAAAGCGTTTATCAGTCTGGGTCAAAATTAGGCAATTTATAAGGCAATCCGAAAGATAAAGTGGACACACTTGAAAAGTCGGGAATATACGAAATAAGTTGTAATGATTGTGATAAAACATATATAGGCCAAACCAGGCGACCCATAAAAACAAGGTTCAAAGAACACATAGCCCATTTGAAATATGGAAGGTTAGATAAATCTTGTGTAGCCGAACATATGTTCAATCACAATCATAACACACATATTACTAACCTCAAATTAGTTAAGCAAGTTAATAACATTAGAAAACTAGACGCATATGAAAGCTTAGAGATATTTAAGAATAGTAATAGAGTAATGAATAAGGATAATGGACCTATTCCATATAGCCCTCTATATAGTTTAGTAAAATAAAAATTTAGATTAACATGTGAACTCAACCATGACAAACATTAACTTGACGGTTAGTATTTTTCACAGTTGGGTGAACATATTCCTAGTATATAAGCAGCACACTAGAATAGGATATTTAGTTTTAATCTTCTCCTGAAGATGCTAACATAGTTAGCGAAACACGTGTCGAGGCGTTAAAAAATCGGTTTGGTTAGTGGTAAAACAGTGTAGTGTATTATCCTGCCAAAGGTTCCAGTCTTCGATATATCACCCTGGTTTTCATAGTTTTAATCACCTTAATTCTACAAATACACGGAGAAATAAGAATTCACTGTTTTTCATTCTCAACAGTGACTACCATCATGAGTAACCATAACCATAAAATAAGGCTTTAAACCTACTATTCTTTGGCTTGACACTTGACAGTTGCAGATTGGCTCACAATCATTTTGCGGACTATTCAAATAGATTAGTACAGAACAATAGTTCAGTGAGAACACTAGCGTCTGGCGCAAGGAGGATTAGTATAAAAAACGTAGTGGGAGAACCGCTCCAAGCGAGACGCGGACGCGGGCAAACATCAACTGTGCCCATCACCTATAGCGACGCGCGGCTGATAGCACATGTTATTAAAAGTCTAATAACACAAAACTAACACTTTGAATACTGATATGAGGATTTGGAGATTGAGGCCATAAAATGAAAAAATAAAATTGGGATATCTATACCTATTATAGGTATTCATAAAATACAATTTTATTCTTTAAGCAATTAAGTTTACATCATGAATAAAGAAACTGAATGTTTGAAAACATTTTTTCTTTGATTAATTACTAATAATAAGACTAGTGATAATGGCAAGTAAGTTGATATATTGTCAGTATATTTGTGGTATCGTAATGGTATAACCCATAATCAGTGATAGAATAATGTATAGAATGTATTGTTCCATTTGAAAATCGAAAGTTGATCTCATTTCCAGGAGAATTGAAAGATGAAAAAAATTTCCTAAGATGTGAGATAAAGCCCTCTAGTGAGCATATTCGATGTTCCAAATTTCAGAAATATAGCTAGAAAACAAAAGGAGATAAAGGTGGTATACCATGAGTCCGTGTTACCCGGTATAGATATGAAAATATTTCAAGATGAAAGTTATCATGAAACACTATTACTATTCTGTATTCGAATTTTTTCAAATATGTATATATCTGACGGTTTGGCTAATGAAGGAGAACGCACTATATTGACTCACCCTGTAGATTACATGTTAGTTAAGAACTCCGTATTCAAATATTCAATTCCATAATCAGAACTGAACCATATGATGTACCGGGTGATTCACCATAAATGTCCCCCCCTTTAGCTCATTTATTTTCGAACCGATTTCGAAATTTCAAAAATCATCTGAAATGATTTTTTCAGATTTTTTTTCTGACACATCAGAACATACAGGGTGCTCGGAACAAACGATCTACAGGGTACTAGTTGATTTTTTCAAATGGAACACCCTGTATTTCATTGTATTTTTAGATTTTCTCTGAAGAGCTGATTTCATCAATATATCACACTTGGGGCCTAACGTTCATATAATTACGGAGATATAGGGTGTTCAAAATCGAGATTTTTTAATTTTAGGATTTTTTGTGTGTAAACTATTCATTATTGGTCACAACGACTCACATGTCACTATCCCAACTTTTGATTTACTATCTACTGACATCAAATTCGAACAATACAGGGTGGTTCAAGATTCAGAATTCTGATCACCCTGTATTTGTTCCAATTATAAAATGTCAGTAGATAGTAAATTATAAGTTAACATAGGAACATATGGAGGCCATTTTGACCGATAAGTAATAGTTTCGACAGAAATGAATTGAAGAATCTCGATTTGTGAACACCCTATATCCCTGTATTTTCTGATATAGCGGAAAAAAACTAATAATAATAATAATAATAATAATATTTATTCACCATAAAAACGTTACATATACTTTCAATTGAATAGAGTGCAGGTAAATAAACACAGAGAAGATCCACAAAGGCTAACCTGCGCGTGGATCACCAAGGTTATTTTACAATTTTGAAATGGATAATGAGTTACTAAAATAAAATATTGATAAAAAATTAGAAAGCAGTAAAATAAATGAAATATATAAAAAGTTTGTCTAGTAAATAAACACAATCACATAATCAACATATTCAAATACTAAATGCAGAAAAAATTTGAGAATTAATAATAATAATAACTCAATCAAATGATTCTTCAAATCACCCTGTACATGGAATATAATGTTAATTCATTTGATTTTGGTACCTACCTACCTATCTATAGAGATAGTCTGCTAGATCTTGTGAAAACTATCCGAACATACAATCCTTGGAACATACCTACCTAACGAATGAACGTGTTAAGCACCTTTATACCCGATTCACCCTGTATTCATATTTCTAATATTATTCCGTGTCCACCTACCTCATCCAAGATGTCACCACAGAATACTCAAGTGATGTCACTAAAGGGAATTTTCTGGGCAATTTTAGCAGCTAAAGCTTGACGTTTCTTCTCGTTTATGGTTAAGTGGCATAGTTCATTCTTATGTCCAACATGCGTTTTCCATGTACGTATTAATAATCAATACGGATAATCTCTATCTGTTTCCATAGCGAAACATAAAGCCGATTTTTGAAGACAAATGACTATCCATAAGGAAAAGTTTTGAAACGATCAGACACATACTGCTCTGATTGAAAGGCTAGTAAACGTCATTGTCCACCGAAACGCATGTCTTTGATGACTACTATAATAGCGCATGGCGCATGCGTATCATGCCACCAAATCCTTATGGATATTCATTTGTTTCATATTTTTGGCTTCATCCTGGCACCCGTTATGATCCGTATTGTTTATTAATATTGATACGTATATGGCGTTTTCACGTAAACAATGTTGCATGTACCAGTAATGATATCCATAGCCACTTTAATGGAAGCAGGACAATTTGAATTTATTTTGTTGCTGCCCTGTATTTTAACTTGCCTCTTTCCAGTGCTCTTTGAGTGAAAATATCCAGAGCGATGACAATGAAAATATTGAATCTCCAATTTAAGCACCAGTAGCGCCGACTGGTGAGAATGAAAATGTTAGTTTGATTGCTATTTTTGTTTTCCAGTTCAAGTCTGTCTCAGGATCAATTGAGGAGATGTTAGCTCGTTTAGAAGAGTTTCAAACGATGTTATATTTCGTGACACAGGACAGGATAGACTACAATGATATCCTTACTTCTATACCGAATTATGGCGTCGAATTTGATCAAATATGCAATAAGATTGATACATTAGAGAGCTTGATATCACACATACAAAGTAATTTGGATCAACTGGAACATGAGATTGAGAAAGCCGAGACTGAGTTAGGGTGTACTGAGACATCTGCAATAAAAGTTACTAATATCTTTACTCCTTTATTCGTAAGTAATTTTATATTAGTATTTAGGTATACATATGAAAACAGAAAGTCGTCTCCACAATTTTTGATCATAATCAAGTTACTCAGGTAGATCATCTTACATGTTTCGAGCCTAAATGAGCTCATCTCAAGCACAAAGTGAAAATTCTACAACAATAGATAAAGTTGAACATTTTCCAAATATTTCAAGAATTGGTACTTGAAGTCTACATACTAACTACATTCCCATATAGCACTCGACGTCTTGGGGACGTCCATTTCAAGTCCGATTCCGGTCTGAACGTCAGGGACCTTGTCGAGACGTACTGAAAATGTCAATTTCTAGACGTACTGGGTACTGGTACGTACGATTCCGATGTACCGAGTACGTCCAATATTTGTAATCATTGCATATAATTTCTCACCTCGATCATGAATATAATACAATTCCCCAATTCATTTTTTACTGGTCGAACCTAATCACAAAAAATCTGTTTAGGAATTCTCTGCCGTTATCATCTAATTGGATGAAAGTATCGATGTGAAGGGTCAATCGACATTCGCACATAATATCTTGTTGTATACTGGCATGCCTATCAATGAGTGTTCTGTAGAGTAAAAGCAGGAGGTTTTTGTTTCTTCAATTAATTTATTTTCCTCACTCCCCCTACAAACCACCCACCACTGATAGCGACTGATCAGTTCCCCCACCCTCTTGGGTAACCTCAGTGAGATTACCTATATAAGGGGCTTGGCCCCAGGAGATAGGCCTCTGAGACTAACACTTCACAAATACACTCACATTCCCTGGCCAACACCAGCCACCTCTGCACCACGCGGAGGATCCATCACAGAGCTCTGAGCTCTAGCAAGATGTCCTGCTTTCTGAAATGTGATTGTAAATTTGTGCTGTAATGTTATATGTGTAAACAATAAAATACTTTAATACGGTAATCTGAAGACCACGAGATTATCCCCGGTAGAGCGCTTTTTTTTTCATTTTCAATTCAAAATGGGATTTGTCGTTACCACCGATACAACAAGGCCTGCATGCTCCGTGGGTGACGTCACTTAGTGAGGCCTAACCAGCGGCTCGAAACGACAAGCGCTTATAGCACTATAAGGCGACCGCGTATTTCGATTTCAGTTTTAGATCATCATTGAGCCGATTTTGCTGTTTTTTGAAGGGCTTCCGGTTAAAAAAGGATGCCAGTCGTCAACTGAGCCCTTCTTCGCACCCCATTCGATTTTATTGTGGAAAAACGAAGTTTTAAAGCAAAAACCAGGATAAAACACAAATATCCACCTACAGCAACCCATTCGAATTAAATATATTGGCAAAAATTGTGGTGAAGGTAAACTCCACACCTACTTATACAGGGCCCGCAGAACATAAACTTATCGTGAGATTGATCGAAAGAAAATTGTGGAAAATGTATTTTATTTTGATTGACATGCCGTTTGTTACAATTATCCGCAATTATCTATATTTATCTTGGAGAATTTCTATTACCTGAAAAAATAACCAGTGAGTGTTTTCGATTTTCTGTTGTTGGATTTTTCACCCAAGTGGATCGTTACACTTGAAACCGTAATTTTTAAGTGTAAAACTGCATTTATCATGCGATGGTTTTTTTTTGAAAATTTTTTCCGGTTATTTTTGTCTGATAAACCGAATTTTATAATGAAAATGTGAACAAACCACTATTTATTGAGATATTTCAAGGAGAAGTTCGAAATTTCGCCTCCCCTTGTGTTGGGGGCAAATGAAGCTACTTGCTCTTATTTTATCATTGGACACTTTATATACTCATGATGTACTTCGATGGCACATTTTTATATAGAAAATTCAACAGGAAATATGATTTTTATGGCGAGTTCTTCATATTTAGTGAACAAGCATTCCAGAACGCGACCATTTAATCAATAGTCAATCAAAATACGAGATGTCAAATGTCAATAGATTGCTTTCGAATGACATTACACACGCCATTATTTTGAATGATATTCTTCCTTCTTTTCATTAAATATGGATTAATCTCAAGAAAATCATATTTATAGTTGAATTATATATAAATTGTCCAATATGATGAAAAAAGAAGGGACATTTTTTCTAAATGCCATCCAGAAGACAGGTGAGAAAGAAGGTGAAATTTGAAACTTTTCAGTCAAATATCTTCATGATAAATATCATGATAAATGCAGTTTTACCTTTTTAAGTAGAGTATTTGTAGTTCATGTTAATATGATTAGTTGCAATTTGATCATTGGAATGAATTCTGCATTCATTGCTACGAGGCAAATGAAATTTGAGAATGAGAATTAAAAATTGCCCGTTTATTATGAACATTCAAGAAAATTTCCTCGAATTCAGAGATGATTTTGTTGACTATAATATACGAATACAAAACTAACTGCACAATCAAAGCTTTTCTATTTTTCCTCTACTTATACTTTTTATGAGAGAGTAATTATTAATTCATCATTATAAATTAAGCTCTGTTTACTACTGAACTTAGATGGAGTAAAATCCTCGCGGTGAATTGCATATACCCACATTTTCGATAGCTCCTCGTCCAACGGGAAACTAAAAGCATGAACTTTTGAACCACCCACATAATTCCCCCGACAAAAGGGAACACAACACTTGAAAGGCATTGTTATTTCGCCGATCACAACACAAAATATTTCACAAAACAGTAATTTTTCCGCCAATTATTTTGATGAATAAACAACAAAAGAATTCGGGACCGTTTCAAAAACATACGTGAATCACCGATGAATCAACACGTACTGACGCGTTAGTCAACAAGCGATAAAATAAAACACTGGCCTCACTTGGCGACGTCACGAGCTGTTTACGTCAGAGTCTGCTGGCCTTGTTGTATCGGTGGTAACGGATTTGTACGCGGGATGTGAAAATGCGGGGAATCTAGACATTCCCAGTGCGTACCTAGTACGTCTACGGTCATCTGGTCTGGTCTTGGCCAGACGTTCTCAGTACTTTTTGGGGACGTACTCGTGCTATATGGGTTGTAACTTTATGAATATTAAATTTATGTTAATGAATAATTTTGAATTTGGATTTATTTTTATATTTATGAAGAGGGTTCTTAGGCCCCAGCAGACAAAAGAAAAGCGCTACCATGGCCAACCAAGATTCACGTACAACGATTGGATCAATATCAAACGAGGTTAACAAGTGACAATACATATTTTTTTAATCTTTGATATTTTGTTTCAGAAAAAAACGACAGAGAAAAAAGTGGATACTCAGTTGGATTTATTCAAAAGTGAAGATTATTTCGTCTAGCACAATTTTTTGTATTTTAATTAAAACCAGCTATATCAACGATATTGTGTAATTTTTCTGAAAATTATTTTCCTCTGATACCTGCTATTTTCCATACGAATGATTTTTCCGAATCTGATGGAGCGCACGAAAGGTAATTCTTATTATGTTGTTCAAGGAACTTCGTGTGCGTACCTTGGTACCAGAGTTACTTTGCTATAAGTGCCTGGACGCCAGAAGGTAGGAAGCAACGACAGAGCCGACATCATCGCCAAAAAGGAAACCGAATCTGTGTTTATAGAACCAGAATTATACTTTTTGGTGTTATCACAAGTGCAGCTCAAGAATTACAATACCGGCTGTCCCAGAACTTTCAGGCCATCAGCAGATATCTGGGTTATCTAACATTCGAAAAAAATTTAAAAAAATTGGGAGGAAAAGCTCTTTAAGACAATGAAATCCAATCACCCTCATGTTGAACAATTTACTGGAAACCACCCCAACTTTCGTTTTTCAAATTGAGCCCCCATGTTTCTTCAGGTTCATCTTATAGAGCTTTTCATCCATCCTCAGAAATTTTGAATAATTTCATTAAGGTTTATGAGAAAATATCGATTCTTTGAATGATTATTTGAATGACTGTTATCACTTGCTACACTTACCTTTTGTTGTCTATTCAGACTTCTGTGTAGCTCTGATTTTTCAAGGAATAACTTGGTGTATCATCAGTAGACAGGGTGTCCCAAAATTAGCCTGGTAAACTCCACCAGCGGCTTCTTCGACCAAAAATAGGAACAAAAGTTTCAATGAACATGCGTCGAGAAATGTCTCCTAAGGGAGTTACGGCCCCTTGAGAGGGGGGTCCTAAAGATGATATTTCTTGGATATTGCCGAAACGCCACGTGATGAAATGATGCAATTTGGTACATGAACTAAACTTTCCATGCCCAATGCGATGAACATAAAATCATTTCAAAGTTTCATTCAGGAGTGTATAATACAGGGTGGGACTACATTAAATATTGCTCAAGCTTCTTCGTACGCATATATCTTGACAATTTGATCTTGGATTATGAAAATCCACATCGTTTCACAAAAAAGATGCTCCTGTTCCGCATCGATGAGATGTATCAGTTTCGAGTGAAATTGATTAAAAAATATTGATGCACTCACATCCGAGCTCAACATCTAATGCAAAACGTTGCCAATTTTCGAATCATAGTGGCTATGAAAAAATCAAGTCCTTATTTTCACCAAACAACCTCCGAAAAGCGCAAAAAATAGGGAAATGATGAAAAAACTAAAAAAAAAACATTTCCACTACGCCTCATCGCAATGTTATTCATAATATCTGAGATGTATCAATATTTTCGAATTACTTCTACTCGATAATAATACATATCTGATCGTCACGGAACAAGAGTACATTTTTTCTGTGAAAAATTGTGAAATTTCATAATCCGAGATTGAATTGTCGGAAAATATCCATACAAAAAATTTTGAGCAATACTTAATGTAGTCCCACCCTGTATCATGCACTCCTGATTGAAATTTCGAAATAATTTTATTTTCACTACATTGCGCATGAAAATTTCAGGTCGTGTACCAAATTGCTTTTTATTACATGATGTTTCGGAAATACTCAAGAAACATCATCTCCAGGAGCCCCCTTTCAGGACACCGTATCTCCCTTATGAGACATTTCTCGGCTCATGTTCATTGAAAGTTTTCTTTCTATTTTTGGTCGTAAAAGCCGCTGGTGAAGTTCGGCAAGCTAATTCTGGGACACCCTGTATAGTTTATTTCGGGTTTTGAGGTACAAACTGAAATAGGTGGTAATTCTCATCATTTCAATCAAAAAAGTGTGAATAAAATGTGTCCGATCTCGATCAGTAGCGGAGATACAGGGGGCCAGTTTAATATTTGTTTCTATCAATTGAAATATCTCGCTCACTTCTGAAGATAATGATTTGAATTTTGGTGTGGTAGATACTTTCTAGAAGATTATCATATGTAGCATTTCAAAGAATTTTAAAATCCTCAGGGCGATACGTTTTTGAGGGTAGAGGTTTCTTTATTCCCCCCAAACTTTTTCGTAGTACGCCCCTGACATCTTTTAGTTATCAAATGAAGTGGATCGTTCAATTTAAAGACTTTATCTACATCTCAGTTTTTTTTCGAGAAACGCACTGTTTTCGAGATAAATAAGCATATTCGTGCAATAACATATGTTAATTTTGCCTAATATTGTCGCAACTCAGATGGTTTTGGTAGATTATTTGGCAAACGGCGTGTCCACCACATGTCGCAACTCAGATGTTGCCCTCCTATGGATCGTAACTTGGCTACTCGCTTGGCTTGATGAGAGGATTTTGATCATTTCACCACCCAACCATATTCATATCCCCAAATGAAGAGTCAAGATAGTTTTCGTATAAAATTATGTTCGGAAAATTATATCAGGAGATAAGATAGGTGGAAAATCACTTCGGATTTGAAAACAAGATGTTCAATACACTAAATATTCATATTTTTCCCAAAACATTTTCAGTTCTGAAATATTGAGTCTTGTTTCACTTAGCGAGTTAGGATTTTAAAATTTTCAGGAACAAGGGGATTTCAACGATACAGTCAATGATCAACTGAAATTACCATTAGTGACATAGACTGCTCGCCAGCAGCTATAGAACTACGCACATGTCCGCAAAATTATATTAGGAGGCAAGATAGGTTGACTGTATCGCTATCAAGAAATAGTACGATATTTACGTAGAAAGTATTAGAAAATCGAATACTTGTACTCGTGAAAATAGCGATTCCGCCAGTGGCGTCAAATTTGGGAAGGATCAACAAGTCACTTGCTCTTGTCGTACGCCTCTGGTAGGAGCCAGAAACGTTTATTTTCCATAATTTGGTGAGCTGTATAGTATCTACACTTTTTGCCAAATACGACAATGATAGTTTCAAAGTATTATGCACAAATAATTTTCAAATGTTCAAATATAACACCGTGTAACTCAGAAAGAAGACAGATATAGGTGATTCAGGTTGAATTTTTAAATTTTCAGCTCAAGATCCTATAGTTGGAATATCTTCAATTAGAACAACCTGGCAACCAGATGACGAATGATCACGTCACTGTGACGTCCCAAATTGGTGATTTTTCGTAAGAGACGTCACACACCAATTTATGACGACACTATGACGTACTTTCTATGACGTTATAATCACGTCATCGTTTCGAGGTCGAGTGAACCTCACTTAGATGGGTAAAAGAAGACGCCAGATTCATGACGTTGCAGGGACGTCCTGTCGACGTCCATTTTTCCCAGACCTTCTCTAAACGATGGATACTTATATAGTATCATGTGAAACAGAAGTATAACTCATGAAAGCGAATCAACATGCAATTTTTATTCTAATTATCAATATACGTATATAAGTATATAAGTAGTAGAAAAACGTTTTTCTAAATACTTTGAAACACTGTAGATCTCAGAAACCAACATGCTATGTATATATAAAAATGATTGTTCAGGTATACCTATATGGAAACAGTTACTGTTATGACGTTGCAGTGACGTATCTATGACGTCTAAAAATCACGTCGGTGTGACGTACCAATTTGGTAGGCTTCGTCATATAGGAAATTATTCAATAATTTACTATTTAGATTTTTGATGGGTGACAAAGAATGCATCGATATACATTAATCAACAAAGTGAAGCTAAATTCGCCAACATCCTTTCCATTGCTATCAAACTATTCTTTGTTTGCCCACATATCGCCGACACGAACTACATAATTTTTGATACAAATACGAGTAACTGATTGCATTCTGATGGAGATGCGTACTGAAGGATGGCGCTGCTGAATCGGCGACTAAATGAACATGACACAGGAGGGACCCACCAAGCAGACTCAACAATGCATAATCAATATTATATAATGTCATCAGAGGCTAGTGGTGTTAATCACACCATGTTGAAGGAATCTTTTTTACGTATCATCGCCAAATTCAATCGTCATTTTGACGTCATTCGGACGTCACAGGTTGGTGAGTGAATGACGTCAATACGACGTGAGTAATATGACGTCATTGGTTTGTGACTTATTCACGTCATTATCACGTCAATGCGACGTCAACTACTGACGTCACCTTTGCCATTCAAGTGACGTAAAAAACACGTCACTGGAACGTCATCTGGTTGCCTGGGACCATGTATAAAACAGACCTTGAGAAGAAAAATTTACTTGATCTCCAGATTTTAATTTTGCGGAACTGTCGTTGACTCCATGGGAATTTCAGAATCCTAACTCGATAATTACGTGAGATACGGGGGTACTTCTATGAGAAGTGAGACAAAATTCACTTTTCAGAACCGAAAATGTTTCAGGAAAAATATGCATAGTTAGTGAATTGGACGTCCTGTTGTCGAACCCGAAGTGATTTTCAACCTAACTTGTCCTCAGATATATCAATTTCAATTCGTCCTTGAATGTATCTTCGAAATCTTCCTTCCTCCTGGAAAGTTTAGAATCCTACCTAATTACGTAAGATACGGGGGTGCTTCCATGAAAATTGAGACAAAATTTGATTTTTCAGAACTGAACATTTTTCAGGGAAAATATGAGAATAACTTAGTGAACTGGACGTCCTATTCCCCAATCCAAAGTGATTTTCAACCTATCTTTCCAATATAATTTTCCTGACATGTGTGTATTTCTATGGCGGGTGGCGAGCAGTGTATATATCATTAATGGTTATTTCAATTGATCATTGACTGTATCTCTGAAATCTTTCCAGTTCCTGGAAATCTCAGAATCCTAATTCGATAAGATACAGGGTACTTTCATGGAAATTGAGACAAAATGTAATTTTTCAGAACTGAGAGTTTTTCAGGAAATTTGAAAAGTCAGTAAATTGAACGTCCTGTTTTCGGACATGTGTGTGATTCAATGGCTGCTAGCGAGCAGTGTATATCACTGATGGCAATTTCAAATGATCTTTGACTGTATTTTTGAAAATTGCAGAATCCTACCTCGATAATTACATAAGATACGAGGTTGCTTCCATGAAATGTGAGAGACAGATGAATTTTTCAGGAACAATATGAATAGTCAGGAAATTGGGTGTCTGATTCCGAATCCGAAATGATTTTCAACCCATTTTGCTTCCAAATATCATTTTCCGGAAATGTGGGTGTTTTCATGGCTGTTGGCGATCAGTGTATATCACTGAAGATGACTCCACTTGGGGCACTTGGTACTAGAGTGCATTTTTGGTATATCTCTCGCTTCAACAAATTTCAGGATCCTAACCCAACAATTACGTAAGATACTTAGAAGTGAGACACACTGATGTATACAGGGTGTTTCTGAAATTGAGGCGATTGTGGTCCATGGAGAATAATGACACGATCAATCACAAGAAAAAATTGTTTTGAAAATTTTTCAAAAAATGTGCGCTCGCACTATAACTACATCTTTAAACTATTATTGAACGTCCAGCAACATTGCAAAAGCCATTGATACTTCCGGTGCTTGTGATCTAGTCGAAAACAAACCTTTGATCAGTGATTTACGAAAATTTCAGGCAATTGTTGATGCTCAATATCTTTCAAAATAATTTATTTTTCGACAAAAATGCATTCATTCATTTCGTTTTATTTTTCGTCTCCTCTATTATTCATTTCATTGATCGCCCCTATTCTGGAAACACCCTGTGTATGAGATTATTATATAGTTTCATCATAAGAACAGAGATTCGGTATTATTAATATCCCGATCATTATATTAATTCTTTCAATCGCCTGAAAACATGACCAAAGGTTACTTAATCCTTGAGGTTCTGAAATTTATATTTATATACTTTTTTAGATGGAATGATCCAAGATTAACCGAATAGAATGCTGTAATGGATCGTTCCTTTCCCGAATAGAATGCTGTAATGGATCGTTCCTTTCAAAATATCATAGTATCAGGCAAAATATTATCAGAATATATCAGTTTGAAATATTCTCATCTCATCTCGGTTACTTCTACTATCATGTAAATCGGAAAATATCATTCCAATGAAAAAATTGTACAAAAATGTTCTTGTATCAAGTTCCAATATTACTATTCTTCAATCAGAATGTTTTTGTCTAAAACCTACACGAATGGAGTTACACGAAAAAACTGATTTTGAGCATCATTTTCCCAAAATGGCGGAACTAGCGGCGGTCGCCCGAGGTCGCAAACTTGGGGTTATAGGACTACCAAGTCTACGATCCTGTGAAGTTCAAAATCTCCATAACCTTTGAATACACTCTTTTAATGTCTCTAATGATTGGAGAAAAAATCCCAAAAAAATATATCGATGATTCGCTGATGTTCCATTGTGAACCTCTGATGCTCATTGATTTCCAAAAGTTTCAGGCAAACTTAAAAGTTCATCATATTTTGAAATATTTTTTTTCGTCAACCGTTCGGCAAGTGCTCACTTCCCGGACGCTTTTTCTTTGAGAAAGTAGCATTTTTCTGCCGGAAAATAGCACATCGTTGTTTTCACTGTAACTATGAAAATCTTGGTAGATATGGTTTTGATGAATGCAGATGATTATAACCATAGCAGCGACATATCGGATAACAGCTATTTGGAATGAAATTAGTTGTCATTTTGATTTCTGAAAGTTTGGTTGCAATTATCGCAATAAACTATCGAAAGCAGCTGTGAAGCAGCTGTGATGGTGAGTTTGAAAATGTCCATATTAAATTTCCAATGTAACTGTTAGTATATAGGTATAGGTATACCTATATACTAACTTCTACTTAGCTCGTAATACAAATTTGAGAAGAGCTATTAAAACTGAAATTGCAGGGGCGTATCAAACTTGAATCGATAACTCAGAAAGTAGTATCAAAGACAATCCTCAAAAATTTTAAATCTCGGATTCCTGGTATAATGAATCACGAAGGGAAAACGCTCGTTAACCCTCAACAGATTATTGAGTCTTTTGCAACCCACTTTAAAAGTGTTTTCCCTGAGGAGGAATATGATCTCGATAGCGATGTTTCGATGAATGATGAGTACTCCAAGATTAACAGCAGTTACTTACACGTTCCTATAATTACGCGAGTTCAAATTCTCTATGCTTGCAAAAAACTCAAGAACAAGTGGTCATCTGGACCTGACAATATTCCACCCAAGCTATTAAAAAAATCTGTCGACAAATTATTGGATCCTTTAGTCGTCATTTTCAACCTGATTATTAAAAGTTGAAAATTTCCTGATATATGGAAATACTCACGTATATGTCCTATTTTTAAATCAGGAAAACCAACAGAAATAACAAATTATAGGCCAATTGCTCTAGTTTCTGCTCTTTCAAAATTATTCGAGATTCTTTTGGCGGACTTGATGTATGAACACACTCGTCACCTCATTACAGAAAACCAACATGGCTTCATGAAAGGCCGCAGTACATCGACAAACCTCTGTATATTTACGGAGTTTGTTTCGAATGCTCTAGATTCAAGATGCCAAGTTGATGTTATTCACACTGATTTCAGTAAAGCATTTGACCGCGTATCACACAGCAGGTTATTAGATAAACTAGTATCTTTTGGATTCTCCAAAAACCTTATCAATGTATTGAGGACATACCTGAAAGACCGCAAACTTTATGTTCAATACGAAGGAGTTCAATCCTCACAGTTTATAGCTACATCAAGTGTGCCTCAAGGCTCAAATTTGGGATCCTTATTATTTTTGTTATTCGTGAATGATGTATGCTCCAATTTTGAGTCGAAATCCCTCGTATTTGCGGAAGACATGAAAATTTTCAGAAGGATTAACGACTTATCAGATGCCATTTCCTTACAAAATGATCTGAATCTGTTGAAAAACTGGTGTTCAATAAATAAACTATCGCTCAATGTCAGCAAATGTGAGGTGATGACGTATTCACGGAAAAATAATCCTCTTATGTACCACTATATGTCATCAATGATGAATCTCTAACACGAGTCACACAACACAAGGACCTGGGTGTCATACATGACTGCAAACTTGCCTTCTCAAGTCATTATGAAACAATGATCTCCAAAGCTATGGAATCCTTGGGCACTTTGTCAGATATACTTTAGTTTGGTTAGAAGTGAACTGAAATACTGCAGTCAGGTATGGAATCCGTACCACCAACAAACAATTTCTGCTATTGAAATGGTACAGCGTAAATTTCTGAAATACTTATTTTACAAAAAATATAAAGTCTACCCCGAAAGGAACTATAATTATGACCTTCTGTTGAATGAGTTTAAGTTCCAATCGCTGAAGAAGAGGAGAGAAATAGGTGATTTACTTTTTGTTTATAAAATTATACACAATACTATAGACTCTTCAGTATTACTTTCGCAAATCGAGTTCAGTATACCCCGATTAACCTCTCGGTATCACAATACATTCCACATTAATGTGTCTAACACACAGCACCATTTTCATTCTTCAATCAATTCAATGTGCAGAAATTATAATAAACTTGGAACTGTAGATATATTTTTTCTCACCTCAAAACAATTTGAGCAAACCATTTCCAGTTTATAGTTCCTAACTAAAATTTTACCTAACTTAGATTATACCTAATTGAAATCACACTCAACCATATGTATAGTATTCTCTATTATATACTCCTGTAATTGGGCCTTGGCCTGCTGGATGTATTACAAATTAAATAAATAAAATACTGTTCAAATTTCAGTATTTGATAAAAATGAGAAATAATAAAGAAGAAATTGTATTCTACAAAGAAATATAATATGGAAATGTGGCTCATTGATTTGTTATTCTACATGGTTGCCGAAAAACTAGTGTACGCAACACGTCCAAAAACGGTTTTTTTTTTGGACTCGCAGACTTCCAGGACTCGTCTACGGCTCGGCCTGAAATTTTGTCTACTCGTCCAAAAAAACAGTTATTTACCGACTTGTTACTTGAATTACTTTTTTATTGATATGATTGTTTTGGATTTCCGTCTTCTTTATCCATACTTCATCGCTCCAATTTCGAAAACTCGAAAACACCCTGTACGTTGATAAATTATATGTATAGTATCCTTCTGCAGAACAATGATTTGTGCATGAAGAAGACAAAGAGTTGAAAATGAGTTAATTCCTTAATGATACATGTGAATTTGTATATTCATCAATGCTAGTGGGGATCCGTGTTCACTGTAGAACGTTGAGCCACAGTCTACTTTCTCTTTGCCGTCGATGACGATAATATAGAAGTCTAAAGTAGTTAGTAAGTAGGTACCCAGAACTGGTGCCCACATATTTCACACATTCGCGAAATATTAGGTATGTTGGTGAAAACGAAAAAGCATTGAACATTAATGTCAGCGAATTTGGGAATATCAAGTGTTAGTTTTTGTGCGTACCTGCCGTCTTTATGTTTATTTATGTTCATCGTTTCGAGTGAATTAGACTTTCAATAAAAAGTTGAAAAATTTCACCAATGTGGAGAGAGAACAGCTGATTCTCAAACAATTTGGAATGGCTAATGCATATAGGAATCTCGCTTCCATTATCTGCATAATCACTATATCTGTGGTTGTCTCAGGTCAGTACAGTTTTCACTTTTTATACCTTAATTTTTTCAACGATATTTTATTTATATTATTTCGCCTCAAGAATAATACAGGGTGTTGAGAAAATTCACTACAGATACTTGATTTGGTAATTTTGCACTTATCATGCGATGGGTTTTTTCCGAAATTTTTTTTTTGGTACTTACGTATTTTTGTCTGAAAAACACGAGATTGATAATGAAAATGTGAACAAACCATTATTCATCAAGATATTTCACTATAAAGTTACAAATTTCACCTCCTTTTCCGCCTGTCTTTGGATGGCATTTAGAACAATTTGTCCTTCTTTTTCCATCATTGGACAATTTATATATATCACACAATGTTTGACACATTTTTTTTATTATATGAGTCAACTAGAATAGTTATTTGTTTAACTAGGCAGCAAAGTAGTAGATTGACTGCCGTGATGGCTGAATTCATAGCCGAGCGTAGCGAGGCTAGGAATCCATAGCTAAGGCAGTCAATCTACTTTGCTGCCGAGTTGAACATATGATTTTTTCTCCGACTGTTCATAATGATATGGGAGAATATTGTATATGCGAATTAATACAATTCCCATAATCTCTTTATTCTTCCTGTATAGTGTTCAATTAAAATATAATTTGATAGAAATCGCAGTTTTTGGTTTGACAATTCATGAAATTTCTGACAGTTGTGCGAAAAAATATCGGTATATTTAAATTATTATATAATGGACAGTGATAGCGACCTGGAAGTATACTTACACCTCCATTAATGAGGGAGGTGGCAAAAAATATAGAGTTGAATTTGTTGCCGGAGAAGTCTCGGATGGAATATGAAGGAAATTATGAACGATTTGTGGATTTTCAATTTCGCTGATACATATCAATCAACAAAGTAACCACTTTGCTGCCTAGGCAGGAAAAGTAATACTTTGCTGATTGATATGTGTCAGCAAAATTAATATTTGCTGCCAATCGGAGGAAAATATGATTTTCTTGTGAATTTTTCCATGTTTAGTGGAAAGAAGGAAGAATATCATTTGAAAAAATGGCGTGTGTAATGTCATTCCGAAGCATTCTATTGACATTTGACATCTGATATTTGGATTGCCTATGGATAAAATGGCCGTCATCTGGTATGCTTGCTCACTAAATTGGAAAAACTCGCCATAAAAATCATATTTCCTGTTGAATTTTCTAGCTTAAAATGTGTCATGGAAGTACATCATGAGTACCTATATAAAGTATCCAATGACAAAATAAAAAGAGCAAGTACCTGTAAATGCATCCAACACTTAGGGGAAAGTAAGGCAAAATTTCGAACTTTTTCTTGAAATATCTCGATAAATAGTGGTTTGTTCACATTTTCATTATCAAATTCGTGTTTTTCAGACAAAAATACGTAAGTACCAAAACAAATTTTCGAAAAAAAAACCATCGCATGATAAGTGCAAAATTACCCTTGATTTTATTGGCACAGTTTTGAGAACAAAAATAATATTTCTATTAGATGCCCCACCTTGAGAATCAATCATTTTGAATATGATACACATTAAATCTCCGTTCTTCCTGTAATTAGGGTCGCCGAATTGAAATGCGTCTTTATGTAGTGTAACAATTGAACAATCAGATTGATCAAGTAACATTTGTGAATATGAAACATTTTCACGAGTTGGTATCCTAAAAAAACTTCGACGTTGATTTTTGTAGGATTTTCAAATATTCGAAATGGCGAAGGTGCCATAAATATTCTCTAGGTTAATTAAGGAGGTAGAATATTCATTTTTCTAGATGATTTTTTCTTCTCGTCTCGATAAATTAAATGATCATTATCTAAGTGTACCTGTAGTAAGAACAAATCATATGATTCACCCCAAAATGTCACTGCGCGTCAAACTCCCACTGTTATAGGTACTGTTAGGAACCTGACCTGAGAGGATAATTTAATCGACAATTAGTGACACCTCGTTTGAAAAATGCAAGAGTAAGAAAGGATAATTTCCACTCATCTTTGGACGTTACGTGAAATATTCTCCCGTTTTCAACACACAAATGCACAATAATTCTTTTGGGATCAGTGGTGTAACTATACCGTTCGAGACTCGTGGCAAATTCATCGGATGGGCCCCCTCCAATATAGAGAAGCTGAACCAACAATAATAGTATTTTTTCATTTTATGATACTAATTCATTCACTTTTATTTGTAAAATTTTAAATAAATCACTACGTTAAATAGGTTCATAGAAACTCTATAATTATAATTACTTGATTTTTCAATCCACTTCAAATTGAATGTATTACCTAATCATTTGAAGTAAATATCAAACAGAAATCACAATTGTAGTTTGAGTACACAATTTTAATTAGTAAAATTCCTATCTTCGGACTTTTTGTACAGCAAAAGTGATAAATGACATTATCAAAGTCCTAATTTCGGCCAGACTTTTCGATGGATAGAATGCCAAGTTAACCTTTCCCATGGAATTTCTTGAATGTGTTTTTATCAATTCCAGTTTTGAAAATGATCGCTCGTCACTAGCCGTGGTCACAGAAATAGTGGGAAATAACAAAAATCGATTACACACTATCAGGTAATCTTGAAGATATAATACCTATATATGATTCTATATTATCAAGCAAGTTCTCTAATAGAATGTGACGTTTCTAGGTCTGTTCGTTTGTGCTGCTGAGCTTGCTGAAGTTGATTTTGTTCCTATAGTTGTCTTTGTTCATGGCATGATGTAAACACAAATGAACCGACCTTTTATTTGGTGTCTAAAACAGAATCGAAAACTGATAATTTCCTTGGAATATGAGATAGATATGTTTTCATGTAGATGGACAAATGCTAAAGTCTTTTGCAATAAATCAGTTTCATTCAAAATGTTCGTCGATGTATGTTTCCGAAAATTGTTTCGATTTGTCCGATTTTTTCAACAATTTTTTTTTATGAATGTATTGAAATGTTAGTATACTAGGTAACTTGAATGAATTGAAGACAAAACTATTTACTGAATGAATGTTGGAAGTTGGGATTCACCTCTGATGACCAGCGGCCCGTGGCATTTTGCCGACTTTCCACCCTGTAGTTACGCCACTGCTTGGGATTGACCTTTTCTTTTTCGTTTCTTGACACTTCCTACCTCACTTACCACTGACAAAAGTTTCCAGAAAAATGTGTGAGTTACATGAGGCTGTTGGTCTAATTGATCTTGAATTTACCATTTTCACATTCAGATTTTAAGAGTGTACACCATGTTCTATCTATAGATCCCCGCAATGGGCTTATATCACAAAAAAAATTATTTCATAATTCGATAGAACTCACCCAAACTAGCTCACCACCGCAAACCGTTTCTTGCGGTGAGCTCCCTACGTTTCATAAAAAAATATTGAAATCCCCGATTTTTCGGACCTCTGAAAACGAGGCGATGATTTGACGTCAAAACCCTAATACTGAAACAAGACTATTCCAGACAGAGATGAATGATACATGATTTCTGACAGAGTGAATAAGAGCGTGATCACAGTTGAAAGAATTAATATATCAGTTGCCTCAGTCTCCGTCGGGCGTTTGGTATTTTCTTTTAACTATGGCGAGATGATGTTTCTACGTCATAAGAGGGTCCGTTTTCAGAAGGTACTATTATTTATGTCCAAAAATAACACATTCCAGTTAATTTTTCGATCGAATTATGTCGTCAATCATTATTTATGTATAAAAGGATCATTATAAACATGGTTTGAGTTAAAAGTTCTACTAAGGTGTGCACTGTACACGCCCATGAAGTGAGACACCTGATATTTTCTCTTAGATTCGTCAGTTTATAGCTGCCAAAAAAATGTACCGATTTCAATTCGGTTTTCAGATTTCAGAAGGTCATTACAATGTCTTCTGAATCATGATATGGAAAAACGAAAAAATGATAGAATGAACATTTCACAGGGCGATGAATGGCACATTGCAAACTTGCATCGGATTTAGAGTGATCCCATTCTGTCAAGAAATGTTTCTCCTTGATTTCGCATATTGTATCATAAATAGTTTGATCTCATATCTGGGAATGTTATTTTATTTTCATTGATTGATTACACTATTCTGCTAACTCTTCAACGCTCAAAATTTTTCATCAAGATATATGTTGTTTTTTTCATAAAAGTCAATACCTTTGAATGAAATATTGGTTGTGGATCCATTTTTTCAATGTTCCAATATTTAGAAAAAACAATGGTAAAACGTTTTACCAGCGAACTTTTACGACTCACTAAGACTTGTGATGTTTAGTGGTATGAACGCCATACCAGTATGTGGAAGTCGGAAATAATAATAAAAAAAATATTTTCATTTAGAAATTTTTATTCATATAGTATTCATGTATGATACGGTACAAAACATTCAATACACAAGGCAACATGACATATTTTGCACTGATCGCCGATCAAGATGTTTATTTTTTCGCAAAGGTGGCATTTTGCATGAAAAGGATTTGAAAATTAGGAGAAATAGAATGTTACTATGGGAACACAGTGGATGATAATGATCGATTTGATGAAACAGGAAAGAAAACTAATGAATAAATTTCGTATTTCGCCAAGTACTTCCGAGCGCATGAATATAATGGCTAGTACACTCGTCTTCAGTGAAAATGTCGCACATGGATGGTGTGTGCTCTCTAAATCACTGCTGCAATAAGAGCGCTCACACCGTCCAACCACATGTTTTCTGAAGACGACTGTACATTCAATGGTATACGGTTTGACATATAGAGAGTTTCTGGTTGCCGATCGGCCTGACCGACCGGTCGTTAGTGTCACGTGACTGATCGCAATGACAAATACGAATGGTTGTGACCGGCCGCTTGTGTACAAAAACCTTAAAAATCGTAAACTTCACTGATCAGTTGATTTACCGAAAATGGGGAGTCGTTAATCTATGCTCAAGTGAATCATCCAGTGATGTAATGCTATTTTTGTTGAAATATAAGCTGTTCGAGTCACTTGATTT